ATGAAATGATCCTTCCCAATAGGGAAATCTCAATTCATTGGACCCTTCGTCAAAGAGAAAACACTAAGGGCACCACAATTTAGAGGCCCAAAGTAGGTGATTGAATAAATCGTCCTCTAGCGGTTGCGGGTCGAAGACTCTTTCCCCTTCTTCGAACCCCGATTCATATTTTCCATAGAGAAATCTATGATCAACAATAGAAGAAGACCCATTTTGAATCATATTTAAGGGGTTTCTTGGTTCGGACCGAAGAAGCAACGACACTCCATCATTATCAAACTGACTTCCTATCTCAGTGGGTCGCAGTAGAGTACCTTCTATTTTTAATAGCCCATGAACTAGATCATAATCATTCTCAAGGAATCTATAAGAAGTGATCCCATCATTGTTTTCATTAGGTCTGGGTAGAGACAAAAAGTCTTGAGCGACCGATCCGACAGAGCAACTTAAAAGATATAATGCTTGTTCCAAGGCCACATTTATGGTGTGCTAGGCAAGCATAGACGAGAGAATACGTTCTGGTTAAGTAAATTCGTAGCGAAGGAAAATTTTATGCATTAAGTAATGATGAGCGATGCACCTAGCGAGTTAGGATGACTATGGCTAGTTGCAGGGCGAGCTAGCATTGCTTAACAGATAAGAAAGTGGGTGCGTTAGGCAAGGATAGGCAGAGCATCTAGGAAGGATACCTTTATCAAGCCTATAAACAGGAGATCTAACTTCAATTCTGAGGGGGGTTTGGTGGATTCAAAGGATTATAAAAAGGTAGTAGTTTCACCTTGGTCTTAACAAGAGAATATGATAAAAGGTTAAAGGAGGAAGTTCTGCTTGAGAGATCGCTGCAGATGGCTCTCCAAGTTTTTTTCTTAGGATTACATGTACTCCTACAATGAGTAAGCGTAGCTAGATATCTCTTTGTTTAAGGTAGATGTAGTCATTATATTCTCATGAGTAATTAGTCATGATGTTTTATGTAATTCTACTTAAGCTTTAATATTGATGATTCTTAACTCTTAATGCTTATTTTGGATTATCTTCCTAAAATATATTTTCAAGGTACAACTTGACATGCGAAAGGTGTTGTCGTTACTAGATCCAAGTCTTCATCTATTGGATGCTAATGCCTAGACATAGGGTTAGGTTTAATATCCACATAATACTAATAATTGGTAATCAATATCTTGTTACCATTATTGGAACTTAATGTTGTTATATTTAATAGTGCTAGAAATTGCCTATTAGGTGGTGCAAATGATCTCATGTCATTGAGTATAAAATGAGATACAACGAGAGCAATAGACGATAATATTAATAGTTATGTAAAAATAACATATTACTAACAAATGGTTAATACAAGTATAAATGAATATGAAGTCTACCCCTAGCAAGTTTTCTCAATATTAACACTAAAATCTCCATTTATTTCTGTCATTTACTTTCCGTAACCAAACAACTTTAAAACCTTACTAAGAATCATAAAAACTGTTGAATTTATCTTTAAGCACAACCACTCTTTGTGGATACGATAATATTGTACTTTGAGAAGAGTTCAAAACATCATAGTATGTTTACTTAACAATTTTTCATACAACAATTGCAGATGATAAGAACATATTCTCTATTTTGGGCTCCATAGCGCCTACCAACCAGGAAAGTTCATGGAATTTTCCAAACTTCTATTTTTTGTTGAGCGAGTCACTTATTGTCAGTTTTGCAATTGCTCTTGTTAGAATCCAAGCCTACCTTTGACGTTAATTATCAACATAATAGTTCTAATCCAATGGTTGTAGTTTTTCATTCATCTTTATAATATTGATTTTTAGAGAGTTCGCATAACCCTTTTAATCATTAAATTAAGTCGTAAAAAATTGGATTTTGAGCGAATATAATTTTTTAGTAATCATCCAAAATTAAATCGAAATGTGAGAAATTTTATTTTTGAATTAGATTTTTTTTTTCTCTCAAAACCGACTCAAACCGCACCATGAACACCATTACCTATCATTGTCCTTGTGGTTTGTGTAGTGGGTCACCGTCTGTAGAGTTGTTCATGGTATAATTTAGTGAGAAAACTGAACTGAATCAAATCAGACAATTGTAGGAGTTCACTCGAACTGAACTGTTTCAATTTACTCAGAACCGAACCGATCCAAAATCATTCGTTTGGTATATCGTTTCGAAATTTTAAACCGTACCAAACAGTTAGAAGTTAATTTATCTCAAACCAAACCGTTAAACTATTTTAAAGTTGTTTTTGAAAAAGAATTAAAACTTAATTTTTTTTTCCTTTTTAGTTTTGGTTCGGTTTCAGGTTCCTTCGATTTTTGAATTGTTTATGTAATATGATTTGATTCACTAACAATACATAGCGGTTTAATTATTTTAACTTTAATTCAGTTTGATTCTGCACTTCGGTTTAGTTTGGTTTTTCTGAACAAGTCTAATCGCTTATACATGGATCACCATGTACTTCCTTCATTACAAATTATAAGACGTTTTGAGTATTTCACACGAATTAAGAAATACAATTATTACACTATGAAAAAGTGAAATGATCTATGACTTTAGAAAACATTTTTTCATTAACTATATTGAAAAATAGACTAAATAAATAGAAAGAGAAATAAATGATAAAGGGCATATTAGAAAAAATCATTAATGTTGTATTAAGATTTTAAAATAATTTATAATTTAAGACAAATATTTTTATAAAGTGACTTATAATTTAAAATTGAGTAATGCTAACTTGTGTCCTTGGAGCATAAATTAACAACTAAATTAAGAAATATTATTTTAAAAATTGTGTACAAACTTTAATTAAAATATAAAATTAATTTTTAAATTATTTTTAAATTTTTTTTCCTAGAATACAAGTTAGCGTTATTCTTTGGAATTAAATAATAGGACTTTGTTATCGTTTTCGGATCACTGTGCCCTTCGTTTCTGGTGCCTAGGTTACTAGGCCTGGTTCCACGGCCTTCGCTACCACCAACATCAATGGTAGGAAAGTCTTGGTCTCAACGATGGAACATGTGAGGATCTATTTCCATTGATTATGGTTGCTAACCATGAAAAAGATTTTGCGACAACTAGAATGTTTAGTTTCAAATCCTAAGAAATAGGTAAAAATTGTTGTAAATTTATTCTTTAGATTTAATTATTTCCTTAAATTAAAAATAATATAATAAGTAAATACTTTAAAATAAATAGTGAATATTCTTAATTCCAAGGTATACTTAAACTATTAATTATAATACTGAATTGAATAGCATCCATGAAAGAATATGATGAAAGGGAATTGTTGAATATTTCAAAGAAAGGTTATTTAATGATAGAATTGTTTATTATTATAATAAAAAAGAAGAATTAAAATGGTATTGTCTGCTGTCTTTTACTTATTTCCCTCCCTCCCTTCTACATAACGCAACTTCCTTCTTTTCCATCTTTCATTCCATTCTGTCGTCTCTTCTCTTTCTCTTCAACTTGTTTCCATTTAACCTCCTCAAACACCTTTCACTTTCTATTTCGTCATTTAAACTTGTAAAATATCAACTATTTCCCTTCCTTTCTTCACTCACTCATCTCTATCTGTAAGTATTCAACTGTAGTCTTTAAATCTAAATAAATTACTATATTTTTACCACTTCTCTCAACTCTTAATGCTAATTTTCAGAGCATACAACATATTTTAATTTAGTGTTTGAGTATTTTGTGTTTCTGCTAAACTTCTGTGCAAAGGAACCTATGATGTGAGTAACAAACCATGTTCCAATGTTCATTAATTATTGAATCTTCTTTCCTCCTACAATAGATCTACAACCAACTTTTATTTCTATTTCTCTAAAATTCATTTCCTCAATGCACTGATTGCTTTCTTTTGTTTATTGAATTCCATTTTTGTGAATTTCTCTTTTTAATTTGAGTTTGATTCTGCAACTAATATATTTAGCCTCTCTTTTGTTTGTGCTATATAATAGCTGTTACCTGATTGAATTTGTAGTGTTTTGTAAATATGAAATGACATTAAAAAAAATTTAATTAATTTTTTAAAATTTTAATTAAGATTACATTGATTAATTAAGAAAAAAAAAAGATAAGCTTTAAGCTACTTGAATTAGATTATCAAAATAAACATAAGTTTTAAGCTTGGAAAAAATAATGGTTATTAAAGAGATTTTTTAAACATATGGTCAAAATATAATCTTGTGACATAGCCTTAATCTATGTAACTGTAACAGCTAGCAAAATTTGTTGCAGCTTCTATTCTTGTAGTCATTACTATGAAGTTAGTTCTAACAACTCGGTGAAAAGTTGAATCAGTTGATTATTTTCAAATTTGTTGTTCGTTTTACTTTTTGAAATACATTGAAATATGCTTGTGTCTCTTTCCGAACAATTTTTTTATGGAAAAGTTTATATTTGTGATGTGTGCATTAGTGGTTGCCACAACTTGAACTTATCTCCTCTAGCCAAATTCCGACCCCACCCTAACTACCATAAGCTATTATTTATGACTAACTAGCTTAAAATAATAATCATATCAAGAGTGAAGACCCTTTTAGTTTAAGTTTCAATTCAAGGTCAATTAACTTCACAACTTGAACTTATAAACATTGCTTATTTTTATTGAATAGTTATCATCATTCTAGCTAATTTGCAGTTAATGAAAATACTGTACTTGATTTCTTTGTTTGAGATATATATTTGTCTTGACCCACACCAATTAATTTCACGACTCTGCAATGCTTAAAATCGACATCAAAGTTGGTCCACGGGGTAAACTGACTTAAGTTGCTTTACCAAATACAAGGAAAATAGTTATGCAATTTGTACTAATGCTTAAATCTGATTATGTTTAGTGCTTTATATGATCTTAACTGTTAATCCTAACTAAACTTTGTTTATCAGAAGATGGACTAATCTGTTGCCATTTATCCAATACTTGTAATTAATACATTGTTTTGCTTATGCATTTCAGGTTAGGGTACCTGTAACAGAAAATGGCGTTAGATCAATACATGGACAACACCGTCTCCCAAAATGATTCCTTTGAAGATAAACCGTCTTTGAAAAACTGGAAAACCACCACAGATTCTGATCGAAATTCATCTGCTGGCTTTGACTGCAACATCTGCTTAGAGTGTGTGCAAGATCCAGTGGTCACATTTTGTGGTCACCTTTACTGCTGGCCTTGTATTTACAAATGGATTCATATACAAACTAGTATCTCTTCCGAATACGAGGAGAAGCAGAATCCACAATGTCCCGTATGCAAATCAGAACTCTCTCAGTCCTTGCTAGTTCCATTATATGGCCGTGGCCAATCCACGACAAAGTCCGAAGGGAAGACTTGTCAAGCTGGGATTTTTGTACCTCAAAGACCTTTGGGTCCCAGATCATATAATACTAGAACTGTTTCACAACCTTATTATCATCCTCGACAGTTCAACTCAATTCCTAGCAGTTACCCTTCACCAATGTTTAGCACAAGTGGTTCGTCATTGGACAACTCATTTGGAATCTTCGGTGAAATGATATACGCGAGGGTGTTCGGTAACCAGATGGGAAACATGTATACATATCGTAATTCATATAGTTTTCGAGAGAACAATAATCCAAGGGTTAGAAGACATTTAATGCAGGTTGATAAATCACTAAGCAGAATCTGTTTTTTCCTCCTTTGCTGCTTAGTTTTGTGTCTTCTGTTATTCTGAATAATATTTCATTTTCATATTTAGTTGCAGTACATGTATGTATCCTTGTATATATAGAATGTATTCGGTATTCTGATTCAGCTTGAGAATTTATGGTAAGATATGTAGTTGTCAGTGTGGATATAAGAATTTCATATATGTTTGTAACTTTGTATAACTAGAATTGGTATTTAGTGTTTCCCTTTCAGCTTGTTAGGTACTTTGTTCTAACGACAAAAACAAAAGGTGAATAAAGACAAGTTTGTTTTGGCAAAAAGAATCAAGACAAGTTGTTGATGTATGCCATTACATATTTTCTTAAGATTTGTTATAAAATATTTAGATTTAGGATGGCTTTGTTTATTGGTAAGGGCAAGGAAGCAGCAGACCTATGGCCCATATAAAGGCAGCACTGAGAAGCTATGCCTTATCCATTGCTAGGGATAGGACAAAGCTTTGTGGTCCATATAATAAAACGTGTCAACTTCAATCCATGTGCTGGAAACAAAATATTTAGGAGTGTATTAAATTAGGATTTTAATAATTTTTTTAAGATTATTTTGGATTCAATTAAGACCATGTTCTTGGATTCCAAGTCCACTCAATAAAATAGACATGGTTTGTAGGCAATTTTAGGAGGTTATCTTTTCTACCTACCTTTAAGGTTACTCTTAGTACTCCCCACCTCTTTGAAAAATTACGACTACATGTTCGGAGATGTACCTCTGAACATATTTTTTTACACACTTTCACGTGACTATTAAGTTTAAATTTCAGATCAATGAGAAATATGTCTTCGGATATCTAAATTGAAGTGAGAGATTTGCGTCATTGAAATATACAAAGGTACTACACAAATATGTATTAATTATGTTTTTTCTAAAGAAAATGGAATGAGAGACCCCTATTTATACAAGTTAAAGATTAATTTGGACCTTAAAAACCATATCATCTCATCAGGACATTTTTTGGATATGCATGTCTGGACATCCTTTTTTTTTCTTTTACAAATTAAAAGTGTGTCTAGAGATATACATCTGTAAAATCCTCTAATTGTAACTTTTTTCAATATAAATATGGTGTGTCTAGAGATGCGTATCTGGACCCACCCAGAACAAAACCAATATTGATATAGAACTAGTAAAACACACAAGAATAGGAAAATGGGACACTGTCCAAAATTAACCCTAAATTCTATAATACTAACGTAGAATAGACATTATACATGTCGCAAATTGTATCGAGATTACATCATTGACAATATTATATACAAAAAACGAGTTTCATTATTAGATTAAAACTAAAATGTATCAAAACATGCATGTGTGACTACCTAATATAGTGGTGGTTCCTTCTTTGACCTTTCTTTATTATTTGATTCTCTTTCAACGTCGCTCAACTTGGTGAACTCTTCCATCTTTTTCAGAAAGTGATCTGGCCAAAATTCAGTATCTTATGTGAAATGTGTCGTCCACTCCAGTGATATCTTTGGTATAAGGCAACCCTGTTTCAAATAAACTTGAAGAAAGTGTTGTGTTTTTGAAAGCCAAGCAATACACATGATTCTTCTGGAGCAATTTTGAGGTGGCTTACTCCTAAGTAGAAAAAGATGTTTATGAGAAACCATATAATGTTAAATCAATACAGTACCCTTTCATAAGTACTTGTTATAAGATGTCTAATTTCTGCGAAGCGCGTCCATTTTTCAATGGAGTCGAACCACTAACACAAGGAACAAGAGCATTAAGAATTGCATCATAATTTTATTTTGTCTCGTATATATTTGTGTATGAATTCCTATGCGTCATCATCTCTTGTATAAGATGATGACAGACTAATTGGTGGTCTGCCTTTCCGTTAGCGAGCAAACCCGAAACAACTCAAAATCCAGAGTTGTCGTCACCTTTAACATCTACAATCCGCTCAATATATTTGTGCATAAAAAACAACATATCTTCAATGTGAATGGTTTTTGGTAACGGTGGTGGGGGAGATGATTTGCTAATGGGAGCACCCTTGGAAAAAAAAATTAGATGTAAGTGTTGGAGAATTCGAAAAATGCAAGTCAACATGATCAAAGTAAGAAGGAGACCATCTCGTAGAATTGTCACTCTCAGTCGATTTAAACATTTTAGGAGAACCCTTTGTTTTAAAAGTTTTTGAAAGTGGTTTCAAATTCGTAGTTTTCGGATAGACAATCTTCCTCAACTGTTCCTTGATGTGAAATTTCATGTTGTCATCGACTTCATGAACCTCTCTTGGATCACTTCCCACTCAAGGCATGATTATGTATACCAGAAATCACATTAAAATTCCATGTTTCATTCGCCTTACGGTATCCGTGCAATTTAAATGGGCACTCGCATTTTCTTGACCCAGTGTCATCTCGTTTCAACTTCTTAATCCATGGTTGGTGTTGATGCAGCCACAAGTGCACGGTTGTTGAGAAGTAATAAAATAGATATTGAAACAAAGAGACTAATGGCTTAAGTGCCGAATTATTATTCTATCGGTGTATATATAGAGAAATAAATAATAGGAGTTTTGATAAACAACTTAAAAGAAAAGCAATTAAGTAAAACCAACTTAACTAAAAATCTTTTAAATCTCAAATTGGGGAAAACAGAACATGGAGTTACATTTCATATTCCTAACACAACCATACGATCCTTGTTACATCTATTGCGATACTTTTGCATAAATCCCTCGAATTTCGCATCGTCCAAATTATTATTCGATGAGTAATTACTTTTGCATAGCTATATGTTTTCTCAAATTCTTCTGTCATTTTTCGCATCATCTGGATTAGGTTGTTTAAAAATCTATGCTACAATATCAACACATTTCCTTTTAAACTACAGTAAATACTTGTGAACAACCCACTTTCGTAACGAATTTGGAATGCATGAACTCATATTATAATATAATTTTAATTAAAATTCTCGCAATCGATAGTAACAGATCATACGATAGGTCATGAAACAATCCCCATAACCCCTAGTCCCTAGGGAACTACTAACTCATGGTGAGGGCAAACACAATCAGAGAGGTATTCATCATCAAACTCATAACAATTAAGCACAAAAAATGAATAATAGTAAGAGAATGAATTATAAAACCTGAATTATGAATAAACCTTATTCAATAAATTTCTCCCTGGGAGACTTGAGTTACAAATAAAAATAAAACAAAAATACTTAGAAACTAGGAATAAAAAGTGACAAAAGTTTGGAATCCTAAACTCATAACATGCTACGATTTTTATAGGAAAATAGTAAAAGTGCATAATATCTTTGGTTCAATGTGAATTATTCATACTTGAGACAAATCAAATATTTTCTAAGAGCCATAATAAAAGAAGATCAATCTAATTAAGGAAACAAAACAAATTTGGCATCTTTCTCTCGCCACCTTACTACGGCCTGTAGCAGGTGCTACAGGTGGTTGTAGCAGACCTCTGACTTTAGTACTAGGAAGCCTCAAATGGGGGCATCTAGAGCTTCTACTTCTATGGCTCGTAGCAACTGCTACGGTTGGCCGTAATAGCCCCCTAGTTTTTGTATTGGAGAAAATATATGTTTTCTGTTTTGTTTTTCTTTTATCCCTCTTTGTCTTGAAGGATCATTATACATTAAAATTAGCAAGAAAACACAAACAAAAGCATACAACATGATAACTGAAAGTATATTGAACGAAATATGGTAAAATACTAAAGGAAAATGACTAGAATAACGATGCGATGACCATTTATCAAACTCCCAAAACTTACACCATTGCTTGTCCTCAAGCAACAAAGCTTGCATTTATGAGTTTTCAGATCATGTGGCCGCATCATGATAAAGGATATGAAAACATGAGTCTTTTTTTCCGGTCGACTAGGTCTAGCTTCTCTTGATAGTCATTTGTCAACGAAGGTATTCACAAGAACACTAACCACGGTAAAACTACAAACCTAAATTTTGCCCCATCTTATTTCCTTCATTTGTATCATTTGCATAACATCAATCATTTTCTTGTGTGTATTTTGATTGCTTTGATTATAAGTTAGGGTTTCGCATCAAAGAGTTTAAGTGTTTATGTAACACCCATTTTAATTATTTTTGGTTTCAGAGTTATTTTATTCGCGGATGTGTTCTGAGGAATTATTGGAGGATCAAGAACTCATGATATTGGTATACAGTGATAAAAATGTGATAGTTGATAGTAATGTAATATTATTATTAATTATTATCATTATTATTACTAATATTAATATATGAGAAAAATATAATTAAATGGAATTTTAGAATTAAGTGGATTTTGTGAATTAAAAGAAATAAGAGGATTATTATTATCTGTATTTTTGGATTAAAAGAATTATGAGAATATGATTCATTTTGATTAAAAGAAAATTATTTGGGATGAGGGGTAACATTGGCATTTTTGGGAAAATTAGAGAAGGAACACAACACGGTGGAAGAAGAACACGCGCACGGGAGAAAGGAAAGAGGAGCAAGTGAGCGATCAAAACAAGAGCAAGAAGGAGCTTGAAGCTGTGGATTCCTCAAGCGTCATCAACATCAGAAACTGAATTCAAGGTAAGGGGAGGAGATATATCGGTTAAATGGTATTACATGAGTATCGGTAGAAGGGGAATCCCTAACCCTATGTATGAGTATATTTGCATGTTGATGATGATTTGATGATGAAATTGATGACTTTGCATGTTGATAATTTTGCTTTGAATTGTGATTATTGTGTTATAAACTGTTGCATGTGAGGTGGTGAGTTTGTTGGGCGAATTGAAGGTTTCGGAGTTGAATGTGATTCTGAGTCGAGAGTGGATTAATCAGCTAGAGTCGGTGTTTTATCGGATGAATTGGATGTTAGTTGAGTGGGATATCGGTAGGAAGTGTAGCCGATGATTCTGGTGTAAATTGGTGAGAATTGGAAAGTGGGGGAGCTGCTGAGTTTTGTGCAGCAGTGTTATTTTTCTGAATTCACAGGTCTTCGCTAGCCCTTCGCTAGGCGAGTGCCTGGCG